CTAGCAACCATCGATTATATCACCGGTCGCAAAACGGGGTCAGCGGGGTCACTTTTTGAATTACCAAATGACTGATTTAAGTACAAATGCAATAATGATTTACATTTAACTATTGATTAACGACATTTAGACCAAGGAATGTTATCATATTCAACATTAAAGTATCTTAACACATTGTTTTATATATAAGTCAAAGTCTGTCTTTTCATTGCTTTTTCAGGTATTTCCTGCTATCTTAGAATGAAATCTATCACAGTAGTGGTGACGCGGAATTTGTCGGTTTTTAAAGTTTCTCTCGCTTAAAGACACATTATTGAACATGGCAGTTTCGTTTCCTGTCACGTTCACCTATATTAGTAGATTATCTATTCTTTTACATGACACTTTTTGAATGTTTGTAAAGACAAAATGCTAAATCCTTGCTTCCCTTTTTTAAAAATGTTTCGGTCTATAGGAGGGTACATTCCTGATTAAAAGCACAAATAATTAACAAAAAAAAAACACGCAATGAACCTATATAAATACAACATTAATATGTCTGTAATCTTCTTTAATCTTTTAGTTTAAGTAATTCAAGTACACGCTATGTACTCGTAATAAACTGTGATTCTTATTTATTGCAAGTCATTGACAATGACTTAATCATGTCAGATATTTGTCAGATGTAGTGTTAACAAGCCAACTACCCTCCTTTGAATGCTCAACTACAATGAAGTTGTATTTTAATCTCAATTAACTCTGGGACCGTTGGTTGTAGCGACAGTGTTATGTAAGACGCGGAAAAAAAAAATATGTTTTTTTTTATGCCAACAGTTGTCGATGGCTAAGTTGTGTCACAAAAATGAAGATAATTATGTCCAAAATTCAAATTGTGATCCATCTGTGAATATGTTCCATATCCAAACATAACAATGTGCTATAAACTAAGAATCTCTTCTTCATACGAAATGTATTCTGGGTAGTTTTACAAGCAGTATAGGAAAGAAACATAAACTGATACTTAACTTGATCAAAATGTTGCATCTATTTTACTATATCTACATTGAAATTAATTCATACTATCTTGAAAAAGATTGTTTTTTATTTTCCATCAATGTAAAAGTGACATTATGCTCATTCTGTCGTTGTCAAGTTGAGTTTAATTAGTAAAATATTTTAAAACAAATTTAAAAGTGTGACTATTGTAATGTTAATAATCTTTACAATGACTGCCCCACTCTTTAAAAAAAATGACCGTTTCCGATAAATTCCAAACGATATTTTAATAGAAATGATCGAGCGTAACGTGCATGTGCATAATTAAAACTTTTTGCCTAGTAAAAAACAAAACTGAACAGAACAGTGTCAAAATGTAAAGTAATTTTACTTTTAACTGTGCACTCGCCTGAGAAAAAAAACAGAATCCCTAAAGAACGCTCAAGAAAGCAACTTTGAAATGTTGCAGACTCGCTGTTGAGCCTGTTCATAGAATACTTGGAAAGTGCAAGTTATCGTCTACGCCCCATAGCACCGTTAGATCATTTTTAGATTATTCAATTAAACTCACTCATCAAAATCTTAGTTGGGCCTTACTTCAACTTACGCACTCTTGAACTTTGGACGATGCTCACTCCCATATATAATTTTTCGTTGAAAGTCAATGCACTTGCGCCTTCCTAAACATTCTTCAGTTTTGAGAAAGGATTAAGATATGTTGTGCAGCAGTTGCGAGATAGCGTTCAGTTTTGAGTTGTGTAAAAACATAAAAAGCGGCGATAATACAACTTACACCCTTAGAGCATTAAACCCTCGATATGTCAAGTCTATACAATTACATCAAATGTAACGGATATATTATTTATTTGAGACCGAATGTTCGTGCTTAAACTATCCAAGAATTTCAACTTTCACCACAAAAATTGACATTCGAAATCGCACACAAATACTATATAACCAATCAAGTCTCGCGTGTATGATAAAAGGGGTCATCTGTTTCAAAAATGTTTTCGGTATTGATGTACCTGTATTTAACTTAGCTCCATCATAAATCACAGCACATAGTCGTAGTCCATGCTAGAAAATTGTAAATGAAAACTTATTTCTATATATTTTCACAGTAGCAAAACATACGCTTATACACTTGTTTAAGTATATAGATACTAACACCTTACCAACACGTTTAAAGAGGTCATGTAGACACTGACATTTTATCGGTCACTCGTAGATCAATCACATACTAGCTATATCTAAAACGTTAAATAATGTCAGTGGTTTGATATAATCGTGAATTTGCGAAGAACTTTAGTATTAATTTTTAAAAGTTTTAAAGTCCCTTAATATAAGAAATCGATCATAACGACAATTATATGTGAAAAAAATTGGTAAAGTATTTGACAATAGTCCATCATATTTTTCAAGTGTCTAAGGATGCCAATGAATGGGTTGAAGGGTTGCGGCAACTGAAAGATTGTTTGACTTTGCTCTGACATATTTTTCAAATGTAAGGCTAATATTCTTAGTTAAACATCATTAGGAGTTACTGCAAAATCTGGGTATACTTAAATCATGTTAAATATCAATAAGATTTAACTAAATTGTGCTTCATTTACATACTTCATTTGCTAATGCAGATTACTCTGAATAAGGAGCAATGTATTTGATTTCGAGTCTAATTAATATTACCTTTAAAAAAATCCGAATCACACGTAAGTTAGATGTAGATATGTAGATACTTTTATTTCCTCCATATTTGGAGAGCAAAACATATTTACAATTAAATACATTGTCACATCAACTATATATACATATGTACAAACAACATACACTTTACATCTATAACTAATGCATGCACAAACATTCATATATTAACCGTTCGATTATTAAAGCCTTTAATTAGTATTTTACCATGTAAATAATTCAATCCAAGTTAATGAAAAGCAAAATATTTAGTTCACTTGTATAATGACCAATGGTACAGACTGCTCTCCAGTTAAATGATCTTGTCGAAAACGAAATTAAGATACATTACAGGAATTAAGTCTGCAAAATAGCTTATACGTTAAACAATATGCATTCTCTCTGTACCAGTAATCTTATCAATAGCTATTAACATTAAGACATGACAAGAAAACACTTGAGAAAGCTATTTGCCATATCAATAATTTAATTCAATTTTATCAGTTATATGCACTTAATTTCACGCTCCAAAATTCATGTACATGTATGTATTAAGGTTAAAACAATTCACACACTAGCTTCACGAGTTTAGAATATTTAAATGTTTGGCTTGTTGTTTCGAGAGCTAAGCCAAGCAAAAAAAACTACTCTGGTCTGACAGTAACAACTATATAAATGAAATGTATCTGCTGTACCCAAGATTTTCAATAATAGCTCCCCATACATTTGTACGCGTGTCTAGATTATCACTACAGTAGCATATTTGATGTTGCACAAATTTTGCATATAAACAATTACATATGTCACATTTCCAGATATATTATTTAGAGACAAAGCGCGATATTATGTACACAAGGTTTTGCAAAGGGACTGTAATCGAGGTAACATACACCATAATTTGCAAGGGTTATCCCCCATTGGTATTGAAGGTCAGTATTTTAACTAACCTATGAGAAAATGTTTACGTATTTTATGTATGTACCCCGAAGAAGGTTGTTCATCCGAGATGTTGGTATTTTAAAGGGAATTTTAAGCATTTTCAATTGACTACTTATATTTTTACTTATTACGAGAAAAAATAAAATGCAGACATGTATCAGAAAAAAACCGAAATAGATAATCTAAATGCACGCATTTATATAACGTTAGTGATGCTAAAAACATCGTTTACTATACAAAATATTACGCTATTCCAACAATATTTTATTCGTTTGAATGTGTCTTTTAAACATCAATACGTACAGGAGGTTTAAATAATGCTATTTTTTTTCGCCGATTCTTTGCACTTGCAGCTTAAAAAAATGAAACACTGGCATGGAATTTCGCGTATTTCCGATCATGTTGATCTAACAAACGTCTACGTGCGTTATGATTTACAAAATTAGCTTTGAAAATAAAACAAAACGTATGAAACAAACAGACAAACAAAAACCTTCTGCTATAAGTGTAATTTCTACTCGATGTTCTTGTTTCGTATTTCTCATTAAATTTAATGCATCGTAACTTTAATGTTGTAGATTAAATTGAGCTTTGTGAAATGGCCATGTAAAGAACCTGAGAACGTCATGCACATTTTAGAAACATGACAAGTGTTGTCTCCTGCTTATATGAAGTATACATTGAAAAATAAGAGACTTGCCTTAGAGAATTAAAACTTTGCCTTTACAAAAAAACTAGAAAATTTAGAGAAAAATACAAAAAAGCAAACACAATGGGCAATTTTTTAGTTTACAAAAACAAAAGGTTAATTTATGATTCACTCTCGTTTTGTTATTTCATACCAGACAAAAGTTCCATTTCCATTTTGGATTGGAATACCAGCTTAAAGTTTATAGATATATACATATTTAGCAGTAACATATCTGGCATGTGTTTGTGTTTGAAGTCTATGTGATTACATGAAAACACTGTATATGTTTGAATCTATCTTATATAGGAGACACGGTACCCAAGCTACACACATTATAAAACTTTCTGATCAAGTAAAAGTTAAAAAAAAAAAGAAACGTAAAGATAATTTCGGGATCATTATTACGTTTTATCTATGTAAAAGGTGGTTGTCTTAATGATAGAGTATTGGGATATTTGCAATATGTTTTTGTTTAATATGAAAAGATAAAAGATATATGAAAAGATAAATAAGTTTATCAAAGGCAAAGAAATAACCTCGTCAAATAAAGGTATCAGGTATCAGCATCGGGTTTCAATAGCATAGAATATGCGATCTTTGTACGAACAATTAGGCAATTAAATATACAACGGTTAATCTATAAATAGTTCAATATATAGTAAACCAATAACCGATTTATTTTTCTTTAAAACAAACTTAAATCAGTTTTTACCACAGTTGTTTAACCTTTGAGGATATCCGCGAACGGAAATTATAAATGGAGCCAAGGACAGTGTCTTCTGTAACTATTTCATTTAAGGTATGAATTGTTTTTTCAGTTGGTATAATATACTCGTACATGTATATAAAGCTCTAAAATATAAAACAGCTTACTTATAGAAACAGATGTTTAAGTTGTGTGAAAATATTAATGTGGTTATGATATTGTTATTGTTATTTTATTGTTTTAAAATAGACAAGACTTTCGTGTCTATTTTAAAAATTCTACACTTTCTTACAACTAATAAATAAAGTCATAAAATAACAATTTAAGAAAACAATATTTTCGATATTCTTTCGACGACGGACACTCCATTAATTTTATATGAACGATATTAAACGTAATTATTGTAAAGCGTTCTTGAACTTTGAATTACTTCTTCCAACTAATTCTAAACATTTTTTTATTTCGTAAGCCTTATAGAAAATCTTACCCTATACATTTATAATTTTGTTTTGAATTTCTCTTCTTTAACAGCGACAGTGTATACGTACTGATCATTCTTTGTAATTCCCTTTTAGAAACGATTAATGTGCAACTTTTAAGAGCATTTCAAACGCATTGAAAAAGCTAAAAACTAGTGAATATATGTATGGAAATACATGTAGTAAGTTTATAAAAATGATTGTACAACTTTTAAATGCTCTACCTAAAATTGTTAAGTTTAAGTCCTTGACGAATTGATATCATTCATGAATAATATAAAATCTTAAATTTTTATTTTTATTTTATCTGTAACAGGATGGGAATCAACAAATATACAGCAGTGATTTCTGTTTTGACTGTCGTTGTCATATTTCTGACTTTGTGGTCAAACAAAACTATTGTTGTAAAATTGGGATTTGTGTCACAGATAAATAACAAGTAAGTGTGGCTACGCGTGCGAGGTTGTATTTAAAGTTAGCAGAATAACTACAATGGATGTCATATATATGTAATAAGGCAATGATGACCTTTATCTTGAATAATTTGCCCTTAAAACAAGCAAAATATCAGAACCCAAGGACTGAAAATGAACATGATAAAATGAATTTGAAAGTTAAAGTTACATATTTATGATAATGAAATGTATACAATTGTTAATAGATCACTTGGGTACAGACGTGCAACTGGTCCGTATAATAACTTAACTTCAGAAAAACAAGACTTACATAATGAACAGCTACAACTGCTAGGAAATCTGGTGCAGCAACTTATACACAGGAATCAGGTCTGTTGAGGCTTTTATATTGTTTGTGAATTGTCATTGAGTAAAAATGCATATGTTAATCGAGTCTCGAACCATGAGAAATTAAAAAGAAAAAGAAAAGAAAACAAGCAGCTGACAAAATTATCAAAACTCATTTGATTACGCCTATTGCTACACATTTGACTAGTGACATTTGGTTAGAAACAACTCTTGTGTTTGTGCTTGTAAAATATAACAAGACAAAAAAAGTTGCCTTGTACATCTTATCAGCGGGTTTTTTTTTAATTTTTTAATATTGCTGAATGATGGAAACCAGAGCTGGTTCTTTTTTGTTTTATCGTTTCATATCGTAAAGAGAGTCAAATGAAATTTTAAAATTTCTAGATTATCTTTTATTTTGGTGGGGGAGGGAGGAGGGTGTTGCTTGCATGAAATGGAACCGAACCTCTTATTATATAGTATACACATAATGTATTTAACTTTAGTGTGATGTTAATGTAATGAAGTGTAAAGGTTCCAGTGACGGTAATGAATACTCATAAACTTGATAAAATTTGCAATATTTCATAATAATCAGTTTCATAAATATAAAGTAAGAATCGGCGTGACCTGGAAAATAAATAATACAATCATATCGTAGTGATCTCTCTTCAGTACAGGTCAGGGGAAACAGCCACTTTATTATACAATGCATTACCGCAACACATAAAGACTAATATATACAGTTTAGGTGTCTTTTTCTCATTCTTATTTTCAGAACCCAAATAATTGTGAGAACAGAAAAAAGATTGTTTGCAATTTTATTCGTAATGGTATGTAATTTATGAAGTTTTTAGTGAAATGTAGAGTATTTTTGTTTTATATTTTTTACTTTTATTTTATTTATTTATTTATTTTTTTTATATTTTTTTTTTTTTTGGGGGGGGGGGGGGGGGGTTACGTCACATCGACACAGTTTAGGTCATATCTCGACGTTCCAGCTTTACTGATGGAGGAAGACCTCAGGTGCCCTTCCGTGCATTATTTCAGGCACGAACGGGCACCTTAGTAGAATCACAGACGTTCCGTAAGCTAGCTGGATAGCTTCCTCACATGAAAGAATCCAAAGTCCCTGTCGGGATTCGAACCCACAGCGGTGAATGACAAGTGGTTTTAGGTGCTTAATTAAACTTTAATGATAACCCTTATTGAATAATCAAAAACGCTAAAACGTGACATGATTTAGCGCAAGAAGCAAACTGGCGGTCGCAAGAATTCTAGGACGTTTTAAAAGTTCTCAAAAGAACTCCAGGACATTTGGAAAGTCGGGCATTAATTTGTTAGCCGCGGCTTTATGTTTGCAACTTTGCATTATAATAAGGTAATTATGTATGGTAAGGATGAAGATCACATTCAAATGAACATGTCAATATGTGCGAATTAGCAAATAATTTGGAAATTGTCAAAACTAGCAGAATTTAAACAAGAGGCCTTGAAAAATGACCATAAATTAGTATTTCACACATTATACAAGATGAAAGGCAAGCTTAATCTTTAAAGTTATATTAAGTACCTAAAACTTATTTCTAAAGATGAAAATGACCATTTTTGACGAGTGTTTCTGTGGTGTATACAAAAGTTTTCCGACGAACGTCGTGACAGTTATCACAAGAACTCCTAGCAAGTTATCATAAGAACTCCATCCCTCGTTTAACAGTTCCTCCCCCATGTTTGTATTCTTTACAAAGAAAATATACTCGATTATCTACGTGACTTATTCTATAAATATCCTTCAAAGTTCAATAGACGAAAAGAACGGGTTAGTCTTTTTACATTTTAGGCAGTTTATATATTTTATCCTAACCATTTTTATTACTAATGTTTTGTCATCGACTACATTAAAGTAAAACTTTTGAAGTATATACCTAATTAACCTCAATTTCACGACAAAATAAGCATAATGCTTATAATGCAATACCAATTTATTTATATTTTAGCTGGTTTCGGGAGCCAAATGTTTGACTGGACATTTTGTCTTATTGTAGCATTAGCTACAAATCGGACACTTGTCATTAAATCAAAAGGCTGGCCATATACAAAAGATGGAATGGAGCAATTATTTCTCCCAGTCAGTACAAACTGCATGCTGACACACAATCAAAGCACAGTTCAAGAAAATGGTAATTTCTATAAATTCGTCAGTTAGTATTATAGTTAATCAAACTTATAAAATACACAAATTATCAAGAGTTGAAGGAACTATGGCGGCCATTTTTGTATCGCTAATAACATTCTAAGGTTTTCATCACAATTGAAAACAAGTTTCAAGACTCAGTTGTGTGTTTATAGTGGAGAAAATAATACCCATAATAAACGTTTTATATTCCATAATAACCGTACCGTTATATTTTATCATAATGTTAAATTTTACTGTACAATTATAGTACCATACCAATACCTACCTACCAGATCATATTATACTTATTCCAATACCATACAATTCCGAATTCATCATTAACAGTACCATACAATACAAGAAATAACACCGAAATTTGAGCACAGTATTACAAAGTGCAGTGCAGCCACGTATTCATTACCGTCACTTCAGTACGGTACGGTACAGAACAGTACCGAGCAATATATAAGTTAACCTAACATACATGGAATCTGTCTGTTTTGTTATCTAACCTATTGAAACAATTTCACAACATGTTAACTTCACTCATTTGCGTTCATACATTATTTTTTAGAACTACTTCATATCTTTCCAGATTTAAGAAAAATAAAGTATGAAAAAGAGGAAGCGATTACGATCCCACGTGCCCATAAAATGAATTTACGTTCCTTGTACCTGCCAATTGTGATACCAGATGACGTTACTAAAAAAATAACGAGAGTGCATTCGAATCCCGCCGGTTGGTTAGTTGGACATTCTTAGTTTATCTTACTAGGCAGAAAAAACACATTAAAGCGATTTATTGATGACAAAAGAAAGAGAATTCGATTTTCTCACCCTATAGTTGGGTAAGTGTAAAACAGTTTGGTTTTCTTTTGAAATATTTCCTTTATCATACAAAAAGAGCCAGCCAACAGTGTCAACTGTTATTTTTTCACTTTGATTTCTTTTGAGATAACCATTTCATATACATGTATAATTAAGTATTTTTCAATTATTTATTTATTTATTTATTCATTTATTGTATATAATATATAATATTTGTTCTGTACCCTATCATCAATCACTCCATTCATCTAAGAAAAAACTGGCAGATGCCATGTGGAAATTTGACTTGTTGTTTTGACCTTCATGTTTTTTGTCAGTCTTTTCATTTCTTACATGTAAAATTATAAATTGTAGCTAAAAGTCAAATAACAATATAGCACTTCTGACAGATAACATATTACTATAAAATCAGTATTGCTTTTGGTAAATACAGTCCGTTATTTATAAACGTTTGTATAAGTAATATATAGTCGTAAAAAATGATAAAATGTGTTCCTATTTCATCACGATTTATTCATCTTTGATGAAAACAGAAACAAAAAAAAAATACAACTTAAATAAATGTATTATCTCGTACAGTACTTTAATCAGAATCCTTCACTTAAATATATCATTTCCACAGTGTCCACGTTCGAAGAACGGATAAACGTAAGGAAGCCAAATATCACTTTTTGCATGAATATATGAGCCACGTAGGAACCTGGTACGACTCCTACGAGAAAAGACACGGTAAGGTTAAGCGAAGAGTTTATCTAGCTACCGACGAACCCATGGTTATAAGAAAAGCAAAAGAAAGGTAAGATAAAACGGTTTTTTTATTTGTTTGCAATTTTGCACAATACTCGTATACATACTTGTTGCCTATACACAAATAGTAATACATTTTTGTATGTACATGTATGTTGTTCCTTTCAGTAATACTAGTAGTTGTGAAGTGTGTTGACACGTGGTTTTTTCTCTTTCTATTTTTACTTTTTTCTACTAAACAATTTTATTTATTTTGGAATTATTGTGACTATTACTTTTATTTTTTTTCAGATATGTAAATTAAATGGAAACACTGTACGTCAGCTGTTAAATGGTATATATTCCTTAACCGGTGATTCATTATTATGTGTAGACATAGATATTAAAATAACACAACATATAGGAACAAAACTGTTTCTTTTGAAAGCAAAGTTCAAATAAACAATATTATTGTGCACCAAGATTTCTTGAAGGTTGATGACTTTTCATGCTTTCAAAGTAATGTTTAAGGTGACAACAGACACTTTCCGTGGTACTTACATAAATGTCATTTAAACAAAGATATTTTAATAAAAATTGTTATTTATTTAATCTTTGTGCATTAAATGTCGTTGATCATCATAAAAAATAACATATTTGAAAAAAAATGCCTTTGTAAATGATTGATTTTGAATAAAAATCCTAAAATTTTAAATCGTCATATCAAAGTCATTTTTTAATTTTTTGTCATCAAACTTTTTGAAAATAACCATACTTATATTATCTAGGGAAACGTGTCTCAAATTTTTTCTATCTTTTCTCAAAAAAATATTACGTAACGTCAAACATTTTATGCGACTTTTTTCACCATACATATTACGTAATTAAAGATAATTAAGTCGCCTATTGAGCAAACAAAAAATCCCTGACACGGTTCCCTCCGTAAATGAATTTCCTTTCATGTGCTTTAAAACCGCATGTTAATTGCTTGATTATTAAAGAAGTTATGCCGATTCAAAGTTAGTCCGACCCGCATCAAACGAAGTGTCATAAATCGGCTGTTCTCTCTCGGACCCCTACGTTTCACGCTAAATAATTGCATAATACACAAATATCGCACCAGAGAGGGTCACAAGTTGCGGTAACATACTCTAACAACATTTTATGACCCAGTGACATCTGACCAATTAAAAAAGCTGCTGATTAATATCAGTTTATAGCTGAAATTTCTTCAATTCTTAACGTGATTTACTGATCGTCTGGTATCTGTCTCACATGTCACGTGACTATCGGTAAAATTTGAGGCACTCAGTGGGGGGAAATGGAACGCATTTTGCGCACCGCTAGCGGGGTATTTAATTGTTTCCTTTTTGAAGTTTATTATTATTATCATTAGCATTATTATTGTATTATACCAGTATCACTCTGCCTGTGTATTCGTGTATGAAATTCCGTTAAAATATAAAATAAAATAACAAAAAACTAAGCTTCTGACAGTCTTTTAAAGTCCATGGTAGATGTACAAATAAGCACGGGATATTATATATCTTTTCCACCAAATTGATAATGCTTCACATATTTTAATAGAAATAAAAGGTATTACTAGATCATTATGATCTGGCCTTCTTGACTTCTATTATGAATATCATCTATGCACGGCATAGAGATCCAGTTTCTACCGGGATAGTCTTTTAGACAATAAATTTCATACTTTGTCCCAGATTTATTAGTACTGTGTCCGATTTACTGACGAACAATTTATTTTCACTGAGAATATATTTTAATATCTTTTTTTTTTATTTATAGAGAAATAATCATCCTTAGACAATCTAAAATGGTTTAGAAATTTGTCAGGGACACCTTTCCACAAGTCACATAGGCGTTCACATATAAAAATGTTGTCTGTTTTTGATGTTGTTTTACTTGACATTGTTAGAAAACGAGGTTGAATGTGAAGTAAGCCCTTGAATCCGTACAAAAGTCTATCAACTTAACGTAATATCTATCAGATTAACGGGACAGACAAATTATTTTCACACATTATGGATATTTTAGCAACTACATTTTTAATCAACCCCGTGGTCGTGCGATTTGCCGCTATGCTTAATTATTTATGTTTCATACATTATGTTACGTACATTGGCCGACAATTTCTTAATTTATAAAAAAGGCTAGATGTTGAGATATTCATAAAAGATGTACGTTAGTTGTACGATACATGTATTACGAGAAGTGTGGACCAGTATGGACGTGTAATTCACGGATATATGGAACTACCGATTTCCCTCATTGATGCCTCAACAGGGGGCGGAGCGTTATCGATAATCGACAGGTTACGCGAATAGCAGATACAAATAGTATAGGTTCCGTTTTAAAACGTTTAAAAACACATTTTTTGGACTAACTGCTTCCAAAATTAAATCACAAATGTGTTCAAAAAAAGGTTAATAAATCTACTTAGCAAAAAATCTCATTTTAGGTATTTTCAGTGATAAATGACTCCGTTGTCACCTTAAGTGTTATTTCTTATATTGTCAAAAGCGGGAAAAGCTAGCTTCCGTAAAAGATCTTGTCCTACTTTGGATTCGGACCAAAAACAGTCGTAGCAAAGTTTTGTATAGGTATTTTCACCGTTTGACAAATCAAACGATGATCAGCTCATACAAATTGTGCGAATGACGAAATAAAATGGCACGAATAACAATTTCGTAATAATATGTTAATGGGGTCATGTAAAAGTGTGTGAATGGCGTCGAAAATGAAGCAAGAATGACGTCGTGAAATAGTGTAAATGACGTCTCGTAAGGTTATGTAAATGACGTCGTGAAATAAGTACGTCATTTCTCTTATCTTTTACTGATCTGTAAGTATCATGTATTATGGCAGACATTATTTTCTTTGCAGTTATCCTAACTACACGTTTAAATACAATTTCGATTCAGCTGTATTTGCGCACACGTTAAAAACGAGATACTCCGAGAGATCACTTCATCGATTAATTCTTGATATTCAATTGTTAGCAGAATGTGATTTTGTCGTCTGCACGATGACTTCTAATGTAAGTATTTTCTTAAAACCGGTACGTAATAACATAACATTGTGATACACAGAAAATAAAATATGAATGGAAGGCTACTTTCATTGAACGCAGTTCCCAGCAATACCCATAGGCAAGGCATCGTTCGTGATCAAAGAAACTATGATATTGAAGAGAGAATTATTCAATGTAAAGAATCGCATTGTATGAGTCTCTCGAGGCAAGGACAGAAATATATAATTAACCAATTATTTACTTATATAAACTACTATTTATTTATATAAACTGAATGTGATCTTTTTTGTATAACTGATAGCTTACTCGTGTATCGCAGATGTAAGCGCTGTTCTGATTGGCTGCTGCTACGATTTCGCATTTGTGTAGACCGTGACCCTAAATGTCTTTCAAAGATACACATATACTCTGTTTAAGTTAGTGGTAAACGATTACAGATTTATGTTTCGGTCAATATCAGACCTTAAAAAGTTTTAACTATCTCTGACAATATGACTTTCCCCAGACCGGTAACACTATATATGTCTAATAATAAGTGGAGACGTTACGCCGATTCAATCAGATATCAATATTTCATCTTCAAGATCCATTTATAATGAACCATATCGATAAAATTTAATAATTTCAGATTTGTAGACTTGTGTTCGAATTAATGCACGTTCGTTACTGGGATGCTCCTGATCGAATTATATCTCTTGAAAGAGATTTCAGATTTCCGTTCTACAAACAATGGCGAATGTTGTTTAACAAAACAAGGTATAACATAAACAATCAGAAGAATGAAAATATGTGAAGAATATTATTTAATCTGCGATAAATATAGGAAGTGATGAATGTGAAACAGAAAACTGAATTCACAAAAACGTGAGGATAAAAAACAAAAGTTTCTGTACATTTACTTCCGTTGTTTGACTAGTACGTAAAAACATACATTTTTGTTTATATTTAAGATATTCTCTGATATATTATACAGCTGGGTATTTTTAAAATAATGAAATTTGGTTTATTAGAATTGTTAAACCATTTTGTATTACTTCAAACTTACAATTCTAGAAGATATGTGTTGAATATTTTCATCAAACGATTTATTGTTCGAGTTACATTAGTTCATAGAACTATTTATGAGTGAAATGACATTTTATGAAAATTTCAATTGGAAAAAACTCTTAAAGGGAGACACAGGCAAAATTTTCATACTTTAGATTTTAATTTTCTATCAAATATTCCATAAATGTCATCGAAATGAATAGACTAAGCAGTCTAGGAAACAAAATTTTTCTCCTTATAAAGAAAAAAATGTTGGTTTCCTAACCTGACCCACGCGGGCCAGGTTAGAGCATTTAGATTTAACGATAGTTATCACAGTGAACTATAAAAACGTAAAAGAACCTGTCAAATGAGCAACTTAGGCTTGTTTTAATCTTAAAATATCCACAATATTTGTTGGTTTTTTTTTTACTTCTAAGGATTGTAATTGTCAATTGAATTGTTTAAAAATTACTCCTTAGTTCTGTTTGCGTCGTCATTTCGTTTAACATATATAGACTTATTTACGTTTTAAACTCACATTATAAAGTATCTATACAGAAAAAAAAATCATGCTGGGACTTTTAATCACTTTTAAAAACTTCATTTTAGTGTAAGTTAAGTAAATATGGTAATTTAATACTTTGTCATATATTTGCCTGGGTATCCCTTTAATAGTAAATGTATATTATGTTGTAAATATCTAAAATAAAAATGTACCTATTTTTATTTAAAGTATTGTATATGCCTCTCCCAGACTAGAGCGTTAATGAGACAAGAAAGGAAACAGCAAACAAATCTTTTTCACGGATAGTTCTTTATCGTACGAATGACCGGTGCACACATTTCAACTTCATAAATTCACGATTTCATCTTCATGAATTCAATATTCCAACTTCACCAATTCACGATTTCAACTTCATGAATTCACGAATTCAACTTCATGAATTCACGATTCCAACTTCACTAATTAACGGTTTCAACTT